TTCTGTCTCTTTTTTATATATGCATATAAAAACATACATACATATCTATATCTATATAAACAAATAAATAATATAAATATAAATATAAATATAAATATAAATATAAATATAAATATAAATATATATGTATTTCATTTGTTTCTACATTATATTTATTTTTATTAGTATTTATATTTATATTTATATTTATATTTATATTTATATTTATATTTATATTTATATTTATATTTATATTAATATTTACACCTACACTTATATTTATATAAATATTTATATTTATATAAGTATTTATATAAACATTTATATTAATATTTATATTTATATAAACATTTATATTTATATAAACATTAATATAAACATTTATATTTATATTTATATTTATATTAATATTTATATTAGTATTTATATTTATATTTATATTTATATTTATATTTATATTTATATTTATATTTATATTTATATTTATATTCTGTATTTATATTTATATTTATATTTATATTTATATTTATATTTATATTTATATTTATATTTATATTTATATTAATATTAATATTAATATTTATATTTATATTTATATTTATATACAGACAAACAAAACAACAAAGAGGAGGTTTATTATATTTATGTGGTTCTAGCGGGGTGGGTAAGAGCTGCCTGGCTCGGCATGTTCTTGCTGCTGCGCTGCAGCAGCAGCAAACACTACAAGTCTGTAACAAACAGGTAACTGCAGCAGCAGCAGCAGCAGCAGCCGCAGAAGTAGCAGCAGCAGCAGCAGCAGAAGTGGCAGCAGAAGTAGCAGCAGCAGCAGCAGCAGCTGCAGCAGAAGTAGCAGCAGCAGCAGCAGCGGCAGCTGCAGTAGTAGTAGCAGTAGCAGCAACAGCAGTAGTAGTAGTAGCAGCAACAGCAGCAGCAGCAGCAGCAGCAGCAGCAGCAGCAGCAGCAGATAAAACACATCAAGCAAATAGATTAAAGAGAAAGCGACATCAGTATAATTTCTTCTGCTGCTTCTTTTGCTGCTTCTGCTGCTGCTCTTGCTGCTGCTTTTCCTCTTGCTGCTGCTGCTGCTGCTGCTGCTGCTGCTGCTGCTGCTGCTGCTGGGGTGTATGTACAGCTGATATCTTTGTCTTGTGCTCACCGCGAGAGAGACGTTCAGCTGCTGAGCGAAATTCTCTGCCGCATACTGGCGAGGCCTAGCCAGCACCAAGCGATACACAGGCAAGGGTTTAGGGTTTAGGGTTTAGGGTTTAGGGTTTAGGGTTTGGGGGTTAGAGGGAGGGTTTATTTTAAGGGTTTATATTAAGGGTTTATATTAAGGGTTTATATTAAGAGTTTATAAGGGTTTATAAGGGTTTAGGGTTTATAAGGGTTTAGGGTTTAGGGTTTAGGGTTTAGGGTTTAGGGTTTAGGGTTTGTGTGTAGGGAGTTGTTTGAGCGTCTGCAAGTGGAGGGCGTTGCTGGGGCCGCTAATTTGTTTACTCGTCTCTCTCATAAAACACACAAACTCTGGTCTGCTGCTGCTGCTGCTGCTGCTGCTGCTGCTGCTGCTGTTGCTGGTGATGATGATGGTGATGATGATGATGATGATGGTGCTGCTGCTGTTGCTTTTGCTGGTGATGATGATGGTGCTGCTGCTGCTGCTGCTGCTGCTGCATGTTCTATGCTTCGCAGCTTCAAAAATTTTTCCGTTTCTCGCAGCTTCCTCATATCTAGGGTTTAGGGTTTAGGGTTTAGGGTTTGTTAGGGTTTAGGGTTTAGGGTTTGTTAGGGTTTAGGGTTTAGGGTTTAGGGTTTGTGTTTGTAGGTTGTGTTTGGTGGATGAGGTGGACTTTCTTGTTACGAGGGGACAGACAAGAGCAGACATGCATCTAGGCAGCAGCAGCAGCAGCAGCAGCAGCAGCAGCAGCAGCAGCAGCAGCAGCTCGCAGCAGCAGCACGATGCTCTGCTCGCGCTAGCGCTTGCTGCAACTCACCCACAATCCCGTATTATTGTTGTTGGTATGATTTC